ACTATGACACGTGTTGTACAGGTGAATCGGTGTGAGTGTGAGAGGCGGCCGGCGCGCCCAGCCGGGCTCTGCTCTCGGACCGGGGAAGGACGACCGAGTCTGCGACCCCCTGATAACGCCGCGTCTGCAGGCTGCGCTGCGCCGGGCGCTTTCTCAACGACACAGTTCAATCGCGGAAAAGGCTTTATCGTGCGATGAGAACAAAACTGAAAAGAAGGGATACATCTCTAGGTTGTTGATTTTTTGCTGCGATTTTCAGATAATAACTTGTCGACCACACAGCCCACCGCTGTTTTTAAATGCCACTTGTAAAGGAATATTGAATTATGTTATTGGGGTTTCATAACTGTGTGTAACATGAATTTCATACGCCACACCTTCCACGTGTACATTCGTTAAAAACGCTCGGCCTGACCCGTGTTCTCCGCAATTCATAAAGTGAAAACTCTAGTTTTGGACCTTGTGATCAATCTACTCGGTACTGTTCGTTGAATGTGTAAAATCTTCTGTAGGGAAATTCCTAGCGGCCCATAATACCCCTCAAGTACCCTGTAAATTGCATTTCCCTTACAATATGTTGTGCAACAGATAAAATAATCTAGTTTATAATATCAGCTTTCAGAGTGGAGATGGGGAATCCATTGAGAAATTAGTGGCGAAATTCCGAGTGTCTTTTCACGTGTCAACGTGTGCCTTTGATGCCCCGATGTACAAGCTTACAGACTCCAGTTCCCTGCCTTAAGTAGTCGAAGCAAATTGACCCGGCCTTTATACCCCTGTACAATTACCAATCATTAGTTACTATCTGTGCGGCAGCCATTGGAGCCTATTGATCACTCATTGACTGATTGTTTTAGACAAACAGTTTTTTTCCCTCTGTGAGAGTGCGAGGTCCAGCAGCTCGCTCTGTTAATTGGAGATAACAGGCGGCCACAATGGCCCCTTAATAAAAAATGAGATTTGTGATTAGCGAAGGGGGGAGAGGGAGAGGAGAAAAGAAAAGAGCCCAGAAGAGGGCTCTCTAATTAGGAGCCGCAGCTCTCGGGATCTCCCTCAGCCTTTGTGAGCGGGTGTGGGGAGGCTGTGTGGCCGGCAGTCAGGCGACAGGCGCCGGTTCCTGGACAAAGGATGTCTGCTGCCGGAGTGGCTAGGCGTCCCAGCGCCCATCCTCCCCTCATTTCCCAGCCGCGGGCCTTAACCCTTTCGCCGTGACACGGGCTGCGTCTCCCCGCGCTTCGCCTCCCAGACAGGCGTGCTCTCTCTCTCCTCCCGACACCGGGGGGCTCGGAATAAAACGCCCGACTTGCGTGTAAACACTGAAAGGAAGGACGGACCACTGTCCTCACTGAGAAACTAGGGAAAGAAAGACCCCCCCCCCCCCCCCTTTTAAAGCGAGTAAAGTAGAATCCTTGTGTTGATTCTGTGATTTACTCAGGGCGGGCAGGTGTTAATAGCCAGTAATTGTTGGAACTGTACTAGATTATTGTTTTGTTTTGTTTTGTTTTGTTTTGTTTTTATCCGTTTCTCTGTTGCTGTACGTGTAAAGCATAGTGCATTTCAAAGCAAGGACAAAATCAGATAAAGAAACAATGCTCGTTAAGATGTAACAGACCACGATGATTACAGGGAACGTTTGGTAAAATCTCAGCTCAGTTGTTGTGGAAGATATTTTGAAAGCAACAGCACGTTTCTACACTCAATGTTTGTAGTTGTCTTTATCTTCTTTTGGTTTGTGAAATGGATTAAAACGTTTCAGATGAATCCCAACTTTTATCCAGGTCTGCTTTCAAACTAGGAGTGACTTCAGCAGTCTGGATTTCCCTCGGCAATTCAAGAAAATGAATATTAATCCGATATATTAATAAGTAGCCCACATTAACCACTTCATTAACTTGTTATATTTATAAGAGCAGAATAATGTTTGAAAATCGGAAGAAGCCATTCAGACCCAAAAAGCTCGCTTGGCTTTTAGCAGCTGATGAACAACATTTTAGCGTAATGCCTTCTAAAGATAATTATGTTTCTACAAATAATTGTGGTTGTACATTATAAGAGAGAGTTCCATACAATATTCTGATTTTTAAACCCATTATTCATCTCTCTGTAATGTACATTAAAGACCGTAATTATGCAGTATTAAGTCCATGCGTAAATATATCCCAAACTGGCCTAATGTCCGCCATCCCATGCTGGGCTTTTCAAGCACAGTATAATTTCTCCGTTTTCAAAGTTCTACGTTTATCCACTCAAACAGTTAAACTCTCCGTGTGCCATAGAAAGTGCAAAGGAAACGTGTTATTGAAATACTTTGAAAGGGGGGCGGCAGAACTTCCGTATTAAACACAACCGATCTATAAATATCCTCAAATTACTATTCTCTTTCTATATATAACTAAATACAGACAATGCCGGCCTACGGCGAATAGGAAACTCAGATTAAAACATTAATCACTAATAGTTCCAAAATAGAATCTCCGGTTCAGGACAGTTAACAGAGCAGACAGGCTGCGAGGCGACACTTCACGTACCTTATGCTGAAAAGTCAATTTCCGCAGGTTGTGTTTAAAAAAATAAAGAGTAACAAAAACTTCTGCTGATTATTTAAAAAAAAGTGATGTTTTCGTTACCTTTCAAAGCTGGCCTACGGACTGACATTTCCTATTGACATTCAAACCATCTTGTACAGTACTTCCCAGACCCACGGAATAAATTATCCCCAGATCAAAGTATTCTGCCCAGTGTGTTCTGAGATGGTTTTAAAACGTGTTGCTCCTAAAACTGCTTTTAAATAAACCCATGCGCTTAGCTCTTTTGTCACTTTATCTTAAACGCAGAAAAAGGACAGTGAATTCTGGAGTTCTCACGGGGTCTATCGCAATTTGGCATGACTGGAGTGTCGGACTATTCTTTCACTGAGAACTGTAGATAGTAACAGGTGGGCAGTAACTCGTGTGACCGGCTGGCGCACAGATACGTCTGGTCCCTCGTCCTGGGCGATCGAGTCGGCCAGCGTCACCTACAACAGTAGGACCATTTCTAAAATAACAAACCTGCGGCCTGACACTCATTTTAACAAACGGAAAAGTTTAAAACGGAAAACATTTCACAAAGCTTCTGCGTTGCTGGATTTTTCAAGTACCGAAAAAAGTTAGATACTACAAACAGTTTTATTATTTTCTTTTTAGTGTTTCACAATGCGATTTTTTCGCCTTTAGATTAAACAAATCTCACAAACTTCCATTTTTGCAATGTTATTTTTAAAAGAGAATTGTAAATGTAAACAGTATAATGTTCATATAATGCATTTAGGAAGATTACAATACGAATCACATATTAATGTTTTTAGTATAGCTACCCTTTAATAAGCAAATCGTTTCATATGTATCACAGAATTCAATAAATCGAAACTAATATACTCTATTTCTTTTTACCTTAGTATGAAAATTCGAGTGGCAGATTTTACCTTTTGTGAGTAGTTTTTAAGAAAACCGATTCATGTTCTGTATCTTCTTGAGTTGAGCAATTTCCAATTTCGATTAGTTTTATTTAAGCTCTTAAATGTCTGTGATTAGAAGATTAATTTCTTGCTGCTAACGGGTTTTTTGTGTATTTCCTCTCAAATGCGTTTCCTTGTTTTATTTATAAGCCAAGGTAAGATGAAACCAAAAACTAGAAATAATTCTAATTAAACCATTAGTTTTAATTAAAAAAAAAAGATTGATGTGCTCTTGTTTTAAAGCGTTTTATTAAAGACGAGTATGGAAATGAGACCTGTTAGCAGATTTCGGACCCATTGAAAAGACCAGACTACAGACTAGCGTCCAGCAGGGGGCGCGTAAAACCCAGTGTGGCGATTAAATCATTCTGTTGAAACTGCTGTCTCTTAAATCAATTAAGCTGCTGAAGTGCGTTTATTTTAACAACGAAGTTCAGACCAATTGAAATAATACTGCATCGTATTTAAACGATGTAGATTAAATACTTCAATCCCGTCGACTGGAAGACTCCATTGTGTTCGAATGTCAGAATGCAAAAAGCAGATTTGTTTCTCAATAAAGCTGTAACAGACTCTAAGAGAGTTATGAATGAGCGGCCATTGAGTAGAACCAAACCGGTGAAGCTTGAATCCAATAAGTGACTTGCAGTAAGCAACGGCGTCAAAACCAAGCTGAGACCATCAGGGTGACAAATAATGTTCCTAAATCCCGTGATTACAAGTCTTCATGGGAGTAACGATCCTTGAAGAACGAAAACGTTGTACCATCCGGACTTGCTGTTTGATTGCACATTGCGTTGGACCGTCCTAACCAGATCTGTTTTTTTTTTAGTTCTCGAGTAATAAGTGTACTGTTTGTTATAGCAGTGATACTGTACAGTGCGAGACAAAGCACAATAGGAACTAACCTGAAAGATCATTTTACTATAATTGATCCAAGCACGGCGTAGTTTAGGGGCACATTTTAAATATGATAAAATCCTACTTTGTGAGCTTTTTATATTCCAAATGGCAATTTTTAAATACCGTTCTAAGAATATAAGTTTACTCAGGTGAGTTAAATGAATCAAATGTATAAATACAAAAAACAACCACAATTTAACACATTGATTTTTTTATTGAAAGTGAGAGAATTCAACAAAAAACATATGAATTTACCCGAATAACCAGCATAAACGAGATACGCTTTCAATTTAACCTATATAGCGCCCATTCAGAAGAGGGACTTTAAAAAAATCTCTTCTGTACTGGAGTGAAAAAGACCTGAGGTTTTCCTGCCTTTGCGCCTCTCCATTTATATCATACCAGGTTAAGATAATTTGTGAACTTGTTGTTAATTGTGTTAAGTGTTTGTAGGCGATTGTAACATCTATGCAATGATGGCACACTGTCTCCTTCACGTGTCACAGGCAGGATAAACAACAACGCATCACATATAGAAACATTTTCTCTTTCAAACCAACAAGCGCTAAATATTTTCATTTACAATATATGCTCATGTAAAATGAAAACAAAATAAATGCAACGAGTTAAACTCTAAATATTATGTACACGCCAATGTACAACTTTGAATAAATTAATACCAATTTGCATATTCTGGGATCCTTATAGCTTATTTACAGAATTACTTTTTTTAATTACATAAATATTTCAGATACAATTGTCCGTCAGAAAATTACAGATCTTCCACAACTGTTAAAGAGAATCAGTTTTAATGACGGTACGTGTGATTTTTATTTCCATCCCTTTTTGAATATTTTTTTTTTTAGATTTTTTTGGATGAAGCTTCATTTTTTTTTCTTTAAAAAAAAACAACAAAATAAAATCATGAAATAAAATCTACCAACCGGCCAGTCCAATTTATGTCTGCACCACCGTTTTTCTGATTCCTACTTTAAAGGGAGGGACGGCCTCAAGAGTCAATTGAACTGACGCGCTGCCTTCACTTGAAACGCGTGTTTGTGTCCTCAAAAAGCTCGCTTCGCTTCTCCCGCCCTGTCCGTCTCGGTGCCTTCTCACTCTCGCCCAACTCCCCACCCCGACAGTTTCTTTTCGAGATTTATTTGCAGGCGTCAGTAAAAAAAAAAAAAAACACCCTCCAGAAAGCATCCTACTGTTCTGAGTCGAGACCTTTCTGGAAATTTGCTACCGATGCTTAAAAAGTCCTTTTTTTTTTGTTTTGCCTTCCTTGGGAATGACAGTGCAGTGCTCGTTTTACTTTCTGGTTTTGTCATGCGTGGGATTGTTCCTCCTGTATTAATAAGTTTCTATGCTTTCTACTGGTCCCCCCTGTCCAAGCGCAAATGGTTCACTCAGTGTGCTGTACAAAACGAATTCCTAATGACCCTTCATCTTTCAAGTCATCGTGAGCCCCGTCCTTCCATCACTTGGGGGAGTCCCTGGCTGGGGAGCTTTCTCTTTGGGTCTCCAGCCCGCTGACCAGTCTCTGGATGTTCTGTAGTTCATTGATCGATTCCTTAAGGGGCGTTTTGGGGGAACTGGTTCTTTGACTAGCGCCCGACTTGTGGCTGTGGTGGTCGGGCACCGGGCTGGTCTCCCTGCTGCCCGACTTGGAGGACTCGGATCCCGGGTTCAGGCTGCTTGGCAATCCGGTGGTGAGCAGGTTTGTGCTTTGCGGGATGGACACGGGAATCTGGTAAGGGTTGAACCTCAGCCTAGGCCGGGAGCTGCTCAGGAAGGGGTTGCGGGAGAGCGACGTGGCGGCGCTGCTGGTGGGGAGAGCCGAGGCGGCGGCGGCCGCGGCCGCCATGTAGGTGTAGGGATACGGGAACAGTCCCCCAAAGGTCGGCATCGGGATACCCTGCAAGCACACAGACACCCGGAAACGCGCTGAGTACAGTCAGGGAAGCATGCGGAAAACCAAACACTCCTGTATTACAACATGAAGATGATCGCCCAGGCCCTAGTTTAGGGGGGTGGAGGGGAACTGACAGCATTGTTTGCTTAGCTTGTCTCAAAGATAGCTGAAACTGCCGTCAGACGAACTGTTGATGCAGACTGCTTTATCCCAAATCAAACATCACCGCCCCCAATTATGGTAAGTTTCCTTACAAGTTAATGCTTGTCCAAGAATTTTCAAAGAGAATCGTGCAGTTTCATGTCTCGAAGAGGCTGGAATCACACGAGTGTATTGACCGCCAGAGCCACCCCCGGGCCAGCATATATTGATAAAGGTGTAGGATGCCTCTCTAATGCAAAACGTGCTTCGCGAACTGCAGGTCTCTGCAGCGCAGACCGGTCAGCACCCAGCGTCCAGCCGGTCGCCAGACTTGTTGATCCAGTGTCACCAGTCAATATTTCACTCGACGCGTGCTAAAACTGGTCTGCTCAGCAGTGTATCGATGCGCGTAATCTAAACGTTTGCGAAACCCGTCTTTATATGATATATATATATAAAAACATCTAGAGGAATAATTCCGTCTTCTGCTGCCAGCTAGGGTATTCTGAATACCTCGACTTCCACAAACTGCTGTTGCACCGCATCTGTGCTTTAAGATCGTATCAATCACGTTACACACGCTGAAATGCTTTAGAAACAGGGATCGATCTTTTGCTTGAAAATAAAAAAATATGCATAAAATCTCATTACAGAGAGCTCCAAAATTTTGACTGTCCTGTATGTCTGTTTTGTGTGTTTTAATCTGCTATTTCTTCGTTAAAAAGTCAATTAAACGGGTATCGCCACTAAAGACATATTATAAAGATGTGACTATATTGGGTAATATGTAGATGTATCTACCCAGTCTCACACCTGCACTGCTCATGTATTTTTGTCAGGACTGGATGAAGTATGACTAGATGTGAGGCAGCAGGCATGCTGCCTTCTGCATCGAATTGTGACATTTGAATTATAGTAATATAACTTCACGTCAAAGTAGAAAGGTACTTTTCAGTTTGGACATTTTTCAGTTTAAAAAAATTAGTGTTGGAAAGAATCTTCCAAAGCAGCCCATTCTGCAATTACAGTGATTCCAACACCGTGGCAGAGTCAAAGACTCTACACCCATAGGTGTAAGTAACACAGTAAACAGCACTTTCCCATCACGTCCATTCTCTGAAGAAGCAAAATCTGGGCCTTCATTTAAAACAGGACGTACAGACAAGTCAAACAGCAGCCAAATGTGGGTTTAAGTTGACAGGGACTGTGGAGGACAGATGCAATCCCCCTTCTATGAATAATTTGCAATTGTTGTAACAATATTGACCTGACTACACAGTCTATTTTAATGTGCAGGATGCTTTGCATTTAGATAAGATGCGGCACGTGCTGCTAAACTGCACAAAGCCGGGGCAAAGGGTGGGGCTCGGCGCAGGTCAGCGAGCTGGTCGGGTTCTGGTGGGAGAAGGTGTGTAGAGGGCGTGTAGAGGGCGTGTAGAGGGCGTGTAGAAGGCGTGTAGAAGGGCGGCGAGCTCCTCTTACCTGAGAGGCCAGCATGTGCTGGGACAGGTGGAAGGGGAAGGGGGTTGGGGTGCTCCCTGCGCCCTGGGCTGTGGAGAGGGTGCCGTTCTCCAGGCCGCTGGACACCGACGCCAGCAAGTGCCCCATGCCCATTGCCGAGAAGGCCCCAGGGGCCATAGCGAACTGTCCGGGGTGGATGAAAAGAGGCTGCCCCGTGTTCAGGGGGTTAAAGAACTGCTGGCTGTGCAGGCCGGAGAGGGCCAGGCTTTGCAAGTGTCCAGCGCTGAAGTGGGAGGGACTTTCTGTTTGCACCATGAGGGGCGCGAATCCGTCCTTGGTGCCACTCAGGCCGCCGCAGTCCGCATCCTTCTTGGAGGAGTCCGTCTCCTTTCTGTGCCTGCCCTCCGACTTGTCCTTCTCCAGGCTCCTGATGCTGAAGATGGAGTCGGCGTCTTTCCTGGAGTCCGGGTACTCGTCCTTCTTGGCCGGGCTCGGCTTCTCCTTCACTCGCTCCTCGCACCGCGGGCTGGCCGGGGAGGGGGGCTCGGGGCCGGGGCTGCCCACCCCCGCCGAGCGCTCCTCCTGCTGGTCCAGCTCCTGGTCGCTGTCCGCGCAGGGCTTCTCGTCTGCTGAGGGGGGACGACAGACACACTGAGTGTGACGGCAGCCACGCACACCTCCCGTGGGGCTCCTGGCTCTCGGGGAACTCCAGGGCCCGAGACCGAAGGGGCATGCATCTCAGTCAAGTAAGGGATGATCAACCGGGGAACATTTATTGTTATTTCGCCAGATAATTGGAAAGGGAACAAATCCCGATTGACAGTGAGGGTCTGGAGGCCCAGTTATGCAGCAGAGCATTTACTGGAGCGCTCTGACCGAAGCGCCTGACTACATCAGCGTCGCTACACCGCGGATTTGAACCCGCAACCCTCCTGTCCAACATCCGCGCCACTGCTTCACGGTGCTGCCTAAGAGTTCCTGAATCCGACACGGAGATACCCAGACGATTGTTTCAAGAGCTCGGTTCAGATTTAGTGTTAACATGTCTGCTCCGACCACTTCCTTCCTGCATGTCAACAAAGGGGTCTCGGGGAAACTGCAGAGATTTCCATCCCTTTCAACCGCCAGTTCTTTTGTGTGGGTGTGTGCATATCAAATCAAACTATTATAATGGAACAAAAAATAAAGATTCAACTTTTATTTGAACATCATCCTTTTTATTTTAAGATGATGATTTGCTTCCAAGCATTGAGGCAACAGCATCCTCGGAGCCTGCCAGACTGAGAGATGTACCAGAGCACGCGATTTGCCTCCCCATCGTGTCTTGCGCGGATTATAGATTATGCGCGTTTCTGACCCGTTAATAGAACAGCTCCCATCACGTGCCCAGCACTAAAACTGCACACGCAGGGATTTGCTATCCAGAGCTCTGCAAACTCTGTGTTTCCAGAGGACATTGAACGCGTTGTGCAGCCTCTCCTGTTTACCAGTATACCGCGGACAGCTTTTTAAACCTTCTGTTAAAAATGGTCAGTATAGCCTATTGTTTGTGAGGACTACAGGGACCCAGGGCGAATACCTGCACCGCAGTCTTTATTAAGACCGTTCAAGCCCAGTTCGGCTTCGACCCTCGTGTTGACGGCAGCTTTCATTAACACAGTGCGTGTTTGTAATAGAGCACCGTGCGATTTAAATATTGTTTGTGGCCGGGCTGGATTTATTCAAATCCCAGCAGACGCTCACGTGATGAATAAATACACAAATTCGAGGAAAATGCTTTGCAAAACCACGGCTCGCCACCGAGTGACACCCGGTCGGCCGTAATGACGTAATCGAACCTGGCCTGACAGCGGCGCTTGGGAAGGAAAACGGTGAAAGCGGCCTATATAACAGAAAGAGGTCACAGAGCGGGGAAGCGGAGGAAGACATGTTAATACCACTCTTCTTGTACAGCGTGCTTCTTGAAGAAGCCCCCCCAAGCTAGCTCTGAAGCTGTATGTGTTTTCCTTTTATTTTGGAGTGAACTGCTTGTTCCTTTATCTTTAGTCCTGGCGTCTGTTTCATGTGAAGCACTGTTGGCATTTATAGAAAATGTCCGAACCTTTATTTGTCTTATAGATTTCAGTGTATTTCTTATCTGTAGGTATCCTACTTCTCTCAGAATATTTCACCCTGTAACAGGACCACAAGTACTTTAAATATCAGATTTTGAATGGAATATCGTGGTTCTTCACTGTTAAACCTATTCGTTTAATATGTCCAACAATGTTGTAAATTGATACAGAGAAGACCTTTTTCTGATCATCTGCTGAAGTGGGGAGGACGAAGAGCAACAGTTAAGTAAAACTTTGTAGCCATACCCCGACTCGCCCGGCGGAACCGCAGGGGGCTGGACGCGGGTCCCATCGGGGACTGTGCAGCTTCCCTGCCGGTGGTGGGTTCGCTCGAAGAGGCGTCCGAATCGCCGCCTTCCCGATCCGCTTTGCATTGATCCTCATACATACGTAGCGAGGGTAGAGTTAACTGCTTCCTACAAAAAATGGAGTAAGAGATGTAATCTAATTGTCTTCACGAATCTAAGGCAAATCTGTATACCAAATCAATCAACCCAGTTACCTTGGATCTATATCGCATTCACTTCGCTGGAGCCAGATAACTATTTCACACACATGAGATGGATTGCATTGTTTTGGCTGTTGCACATCTTCAGAGAAATAGATGATGCCTCCTTTCTAAAGTACCGAGAAGCGACGGTAAAACAGTTTAAACTACAAGTGTGTGTGTGTTTTTATTTTTCTGGTTTTGCTGAGATTGCGAAAAAAAAATCGGAGCATTCATTGATTACACATCTGCTACCCTAATTAAACCAAAGGCAAAACAAAATCTGCCTTCAAAAACTGACAACATGGTCTGTTATGAGAGAATTATTCTCCCCTGATATCACTTAAAGTCAAGAAGTTTGCTCTCCTAGCGTGTCGTTTGGGAGCTGAAGTGGAAAAAATATTCTAAATGGTGGAAATTCAAATGGATGAAACCAGACAATTTACCTTTTTTCTCTTCTTCCGTTGCCAGTGTCTCTGAATCCCTTGGCAAACGGGTTGTTATCAATTTTAAGCTGTGTGATCTGGAAAGGGAACATCAACATTTATCATTGCCTCACAAAAACCGGGAACACGGTGTCAGCAGTACCGTACATAAGCCTGCCTGTCTTTATCTGATTAAAAGCATCAAACTCCGAATATCTCTTGTCTGGAACAAAACTATTCAGAAACGATTCATGAATGATAGACCATTGAATGGTTTTACAGAACCATGTGTGTTTATTTATATGCACCATACGGTACGAAATGCTTCCAAATGTAGTTATGAGCACACAATTCAGGCCTATATAACCTACTACGTGTGATAGGTCATGCTTATTTTGATAAAGGTTATTGTATAATTGACTGTTTACTTGTACTTTTAAGTCGCATTTACCAGCAGTCAGTCTACAGTCCATCTAATAATAAGACGCCGAAATAAAATGATATTCAATGAGAGAAAGTGTTGGGTCAGCACGGAGCGCATCTCCTAGAAGAGGTCATTGATATATCATATAGTGGCCTCTTAAGATAGTTTTTTCCCCCAATTAGTTCTTTCGCGTACGGCACCCTGTTTAACAAGCCGCACGGTTTATTAAAAATGATGCTGAGGTTTGGTTTGAATTATTAATCGAGTTTTAATGATGGGAAGTTATTTTCACTGCCCCCGAGAGAAAAGGCGGCGACTCAACATCGCTGCGTTGGTTATACCGCCATCCCTTTCGGTGAGAGAGCGAGGCGGAGAGACGGAAAGAGACTGAATTATGGTGCTGGCGACGCTGAATTATCAATTATTCATCGCGTGTTGCATTTTTTTTTCTATTTGGATATCGGGCAAAATCGATCCTCTCCCTGCAGTGAGTTTTCAGTAACCGTTATGTGATGTTTATAATTGCTAACACTTTTGCATACTCAACATAAAGTTATTATACATTGCAGAATGGGCGATTGAACATCGCCCGTTCAATGATCCAATACAAGCTACAGTTCTCATTTAATTGAGCCTCTTTGTGCAGCACAGTGGAACTATACCACAGAAAAACGTAATAATACCTCTATAAAGTTGTTGTTGTTGTTGTTAGATAGATCATACTTTATTAATCCCGTATGGAAATTGATGATTGTTGTTGTTATTATTATTATGATTATTATTATGATTATTATTATGTATTGTTGTTGTGTCTCATCGGTGACGCTCGTGTAGTATTCGTGTTCATCAGTCCAGTGCAGCGCGCAGATATCTTCCTATCTGTGATATTGAACTGTCATGCTGCTGTGATCGCGACGCTGCCCAGCCCGGAGTAGCTCGCGGACATACTGGGGAGCCTAAGAGCCTTCTAATCGATTGTGACTCTTTGCCATAAACTTTACGATACCAGCAGGCCCACCAGGCCTCTCGGACACAGCCGTCAATTAGCATCCGAGGGAGGGGTAGAGGGGAGAATTAGAGGAGAAGAAAAATAAATACTCCCCTCGAATTTAGGAATTACTGACACCTTCCCCCAAACCAGAAGCAAATCACCTGTCTTAATTCTCCAGAAGTTCAAGAGAGCTACGCGCTTACTAGACGAGTTTAATTCTATCACGAAACATTAAACACAAGCTGCGTTTTCCTAATAATATTATCTTCTGATTGCATATTAGTACTTTAAACTCTAAAAATCCTCTGAGCAAATAGAATCTAATTTCATATGCCACAAATAGCAATCACAGTCATATTAATGCTAAAATATTAACAACAATATTTTAATAAAGAGTTGGCAATATGGAACATATGTTTTTTTCAGACGGATAAGAGGCCAGTAAAGGATTTGATTTCCACACAGTTATTTATTAATGCCCACTTTACAGAATACACGTGGAACATGAACGCGCGAATCTAAAATCTACCCTTTTTTCAATTACTATGTAAAACAAATTAAAACATATCCCATTCCTTAGCAAGAACCAAAACGAGATCTTACAAATCGCAATAATAGAATACCAGCTACATAAACTGTGGCGTTCGAAAACTTGAGTTTAACACAATATAGGTTTTAGACACTCATACGTGAAGATTACGGTCCACTGTGCAAACATATAACAGAAAAAAATAAATGCGGAAAAATGGAATGTCATATTGCGTCCGTTTTTTGGTTTTGTTGATTTGGTGTTGTGCTTTCAAAATTCAAAATAATTATTCTTTAGCTGAGGCTCCAAAACCCGGCAACCTGGAAGTTATTTTTATTATAATTTATGTTCACATAACATACCATGCAGATAAATCTAAAAATAAATAACAATAATAATGGCGGCGCTTACATGACCCAGCCAATGTCAACAAAAACCAAGCAGAATCCGGTATCTTTAAGGTGCATAAAGAGGTGATCAAATGAACCGATTTATAAATATCAACCGTGACTCACCTTGTCGTTTTGATAAGCAGTGACAGCGATAAAATCCGTCTCTGGGAAGACATACGTCCGAAAAGTGCTGTACGGGAGCTTCAGGATGTCGTTGGCTCTCACAATGTGAAATCTGGGCTGGTACTTATGCATAGAATTGAGGATAGTCTGGAACATAAATAAAGTAACATCAGATTTTGCTTCTGAAAAACGCTTTAATATAACCCTGTATGAAGAATTAATATCTAACTCAAATTATTCACTGTATACAATATTGAGTTTATACACCTCCAGGTACACACCACGCCTCGTCGGAATTATCATTACTACAGATTAAATCGCATTCTGCACTGAGCATTGCAATAGACTACGCGCTTAATCTTTTAAATACGACACATTTAGAATTTAATTTATAACATGTTTGGAAATGCAAAGAACTTTTTAATTAAAAAATCCCGCAGGGCAGGCTATGAGAATTTTATTTTCGTGTTCTGGAAGAAAAAAAAACGGTACCGACATAAGTGCATACACCTGAATAAACACCGGACACTCTGATCGGAGCGACCCTGCTGTCATGTCGTATTACACTTGGTTTATATAAAAAACATCGGTTATTTCTATGTCATAGTAACCGACTTCTGGTTTTAGTGGCATGGCAGCTTTTCTGCCACTTAGGAGAGGCGGAGTGGATTTATTTTAGAAACGTTGCACGATCCGTCATTCAGGCGTGCAGACTGACTGCACGGAAGACCCGGGACGAGCCTGTGTCACGACTCCAGCTTGCAGCCTGATAGAAATGTATCCCAGTAACACGAAACGTGAAGACAATAACACTTCAGGGATTGTGTGTAAAAATTGTACTTGTGTATTAAATCGTTGCCCCCCACCCAAAATAGGTCTATTAGTGTTTTACTGCGGGCTAACAGATGACTAAGTACCGTAGGGCATTGTGTGTTTATTCTTTGTTAAATAGGTAATATAACATACATACAAACGCACGAGTTATTCAAGCAACAGAGATTAAATTTATACCCACATACTCGGCGATTACGTGGAACGGGACCGGCAGGGTAGCACATTTTAATACATGGGAACTAGAGGCAAATAAAACCTTAGATGAAGTTTTTAAAAAGGACTGGGTGCCACAGGTTGCAAATGCGCACGCCGCACATGTAAAGCTTCTATTTGTGTGCGGCCATTTGTTTACAGTGCCTTGGTTTTGAGTGAAGCAAAGTACAGGTGATAAGTCTAGTGCAATTTGCCTCTGCTGCTTTTAATTTTCATGGCACTGTTATTAAGTCCTCCCCTGCTTGTCTTCCCTTGTACGTCCACGCCACACTCAAGGGAGACTCGGTACAAACGCTTCGGGGCCTGGAGTAAGTGGCCACGCATTGTATCTCGGCGCTGCCCCAGCCATCAGCCGCGCTGGGGAGACCTGCCCAGACGTCAAAGGTCGCTGTGAGTAGCTGGCCCGTTCAATACAGCGAGCCTGAGTGTCTGCATCTCCTCATTGACCTGCCCCTTTCCCTTGGCTCTGTCCTCATCAGCCCCCACCGCAGGCCCTTCCGAGAAGCACGCCAGTCTAATATACAGTAATATGCATAATATATATATAATATATATATATAGTTTGCATATAGCTGCTGTATCATTGCGAAGTACCATTTGTACTCTCCGCTCGAGAATTAACTCTCTAGCTATACAGTAACGCACTGTGGCATTTGTATTAATAGATAAAATACTCGCTTGTCAAAGGGTTTATTGATCCAGCTCTGTCTTCGGGCTTTAAGTTGAAGACTATTTTAAAGTAGAAGCTATCTTTAATTTCCCCCTCAAAAAAATAAAGATAAACGTCTAATTAACGTCCGTAAATTACGTTTCATATATATAATTGAAATGCTGTTTTTTTTAAGTTTCATCTGACCATTTTTTCAATTTTACATGTTTACTTCTTTCGCAAACAGGAGATATAACATGTTTTTTTTAAAGAAGCTCCTCCGTACCACAATACAAACTAAGAATAATGTAACGTTTCATCAGGAATTTACAAAGCCTTAATATCAACCACTACCATCCAAATGACCGACAACACGAAGGTTATGAAATATTGCTTTATATTAGCAGTGAACTAAATTCAATCTGCTGGCTGTAGCCAGTTCTGATTCTGTACTATTTATTGTTTTCATTGTTAATTGACATATATTTTAATACTTTCAAGGGTGGTATCTATAAATCATTGTTATAACATTCTTGAAATTAAATATCGAATCATTTTATACGAATCATGAATCAGCATTTATAAAGAAATCTCCCGAAAAAAAACAGCAAATTAAAATCCTCCATTCATGCATTTTCGCTCCATGACTTAAAGAGTACTTACAAATCCGTGTTTGTCGGAGATATTGTTAGTCAGCTTGAGCTTGTGAAAAGCGACAGGCTTGGCCATCCACTGCTCCCCTGTAGCGGGGCTGTCCGGGTGGATGTACATTCTCTTGGGCATCTCCGGGTCGGCCTTGCCCGCCACCATCCAGCGGGAGTTGTGGAACTTGTACCGGCAGTCGTCGGCGGCTACTATATCCATCAACAATATATATTTGGCCTTTTTGTCAAGACCGTTGACTCGAACTTTAAAAGGAGGAAACATTCTCCTGAAACAAAGGGGAAAAAAAACACAAGGGCAAAATAAACTCCTTGGGAGCGATCTGTCGGCTGAGCAGCCGGGGCGAGGAAGCGCTCGGCGGGCGTCTAGTTACTGAGCAAAAAACGTGAAGCCCTTTTCTTTCCCGTCATTTCTGAAGACTTGTTACTTTTCCCCCCCGAGTCGTGCTTTTGTACCATCACTGTGTTTCTGCCGGACCAAAGAAATAACGAGGAGTCCAGCTAAAAACATGTTTGTTTGTTTTTTTATGAAAAAGCGGCCCCATGGACGAAGATATTTAGGATTTATCAGCGTTCTTTTTTATTTACCTAATCGGATTACTCGTGTTTGACTTATTTTTGTACCACTAAGACGTGCTGCATTACAATTAATATCTAAACACGATTAATGATAAGTAGGACAATCTCTTACTTTTTCTGCTAAAACTATTAAGGCGCTAAGAATGCAGAACAATGTGTATGCGTTACACTTTTCATACAACTTCAGATTTCTGAAGGCGACGATCTAAGCCGGTGAACAATCTTTGAAGAATATTTATGACATTGCCCTATCACTTAAATCACAATCTTCTTTTTAAAGTGACAGGCTGTTTACAAAAACCAGAAGCTTCGGTGTCATGACAGAACCACGGTGTGATCCCGACACTGGCTTGGTTTTGTGGAGCAAATTCCTGGAATTTTTTTTTTCCAGGCTCAATTTTTCATCTGTTCTTATGAAATCGATTTTAATAAGGATCGGGGACTCTGCTAAAACACAACACGCAAAAAAAAAAACGTTTTATTCTGGTGTTTTCGGAAATTCACGACAAAACGACATTGAATTCATTTCGGTCTCTCATACTGAGAACTGAAACATTTCTTAAAATTATGATTTTTACACATAGTAATTCAAATCTTAAACCGTGCGCTGCCAGTGTCTATTCATGTAAAAAATTAAGATTATTATAGCCTGCTCTTTAATATCCTACATCAAGCAATCTGGATTTTCCGTAGTAAAAAATAAAGTTAGGAGAACAGGCCATTCAGCACACGAGGGAATATATATCAACAGCGGATTCTGGTCTGTTACAGGCTGGGGTTCTTCTGAACTTGTTCTGTAAAATCGTTACAACAATGTGAATTAACTACACGGAGATTAAAAACTGTGGTGGGGGGGGAGAAATTGATACTGGGTAATGGACCTTCTCCTACCTCCCGGATTTGGTAATCACCATCTCAGTTCCCAGTTTGTGAAATTGGTCCCACAGTTCCTTAGCTTCCAGCGTGACTTTCGGGTCGTCCTCCACCTCCTCCTCGGGCTCCAGGCTCTTCAGGGAGCGCAGATGGGCCGCCTGGTGATGGTGCCCCAGCGCCGGGTGCAGCGCCGCCTCAGCGGCTCCCGCCAGGGTAGGGTCCGGGATGGGCTTGCCCAGGGCGCCGGGGGGCAGCGTCAGCGCCGGGAAAAAGGAAGGCTGAGCCGCCGCTAGGAAGGCTGACATGGGGAAGTCGGCCGGCCGGGGAGCGTGGAAAGGGTGATACGCCATGGCAGTCCCTGTGAAAGTTGGATCTCTCATCGGTGCATCCAAAAATCGAGGTGGAATTAGTACAGGCAGTTAGACTGATTTTTTTTTCTCGCTCTCTCTCTCCCCCAACACAGAAGGTACGTTTTCCAGAGACGCAAAATAACCCCCCTTCGTTGGCTCGCAACGGTAACGGAATGTCGACAGCGGTAGAGGGGTAATGAAGAAGAGGGAAAGGGCTGGCTCGTTTCAAAGCTGCAAGGAAAAAAATAAAATAAAAACAAAAATGGAAAAGGTCTGATTTCGGATAGTCCGGCTGCTGCTGCTGCTGCTTCTCCGAAGTCCCGCCGCAATAACAACAACGATAATAATATTAGTCAGCGGGATTCTGCATCGATGCCGATGATTTTGGAGTTTCCTCTCTTTTTTTTTTTTCCTTTCCAAAAAGTCGCTTTCAGCACAGGCAGGATCGCTCTGCGAAGGGGGATGCGCCAGCAGGAGTGATCATTCTCCACAGTCCCGGAGTTGAAATGGTTAGATCTTGCCCCGCTCTCTGTAGAACTGTGACTATCTCACATGTCCTTCCTGCTCCGATCCCAGCACTAATGAACCAAGCCCCCTTGATTGCTCATTTTACGCTTTCTGGACCAATTGTGGGCCTCTATAGGCGTGGTTTTGACAGCTCCGGCCAAGACCGAGACGAGGGAGGGGGTGGACAAGAAGGTGTCGGAAGCATTAACAGTAAGAAAACATGTCAACAGAATAAAATATTAACCAATGACAGAGAAAAGATCGGGAAATCCCACCCCCAGCTCCAAGCCAAACACCGGGTCAGCCTCCCATCTGTGGCCGGCGGAGAGAGCGCCTCGGTCGGCTTGCGTTTAATAATTTTACTAAACTGCTCTGCACCTTGTCTGAGGCTCGTAATGCACACCCATATAACAAACATAACCTAAATGAATTAGGATTAAATATACATTTGGATTATTCTTTTTTTTTTCCTCATTCGCGAAGCCGATATAAATATATGTAACATTACACAAATTACTTGACATATTATCTACATCTTACGGTTTTATTTAAATATTTTAAATAGTAAAATGTTTTTTTTTTTAAATAGTTTTGTTTCTTGGTGGAATCAGAAAGCTATTCGGCTTTCCTTTCACCGACGAATGTGATCTGAAACCGTAGACGTAAATTAGGCTCATTTTTCCAAGCTGCGCTCGTATTTTAAATGCTGTTTTACCGTATCTGGTTGAGAGAAGGTCAGTGCATTTTTGAGCCTCGGCTCTTCGGACCTGTCATTACTCAAAGCCAGGTCTCCGAGCGTGTAAATGAATGGGTCCCCGATTACAGACATTATGTGAACATTTTGTACATTTATTTCAACCCTGGCTGCACGTTGCTTCGCTGAAACTCTTCGCCCTCGCCGGTGGCTTCTCGGGAGAGGACGGCAGCCCACGAACCGGACATTGTCGTTTTAAACATAGCCCCCGGCTCGCTCGGGCTGCTCGGACCCAGGCGCTGCTCCGAAGCGGGGAGAAAGCCGAGCAGATGAATGCATTTCAAGGCGCAAATGAAGTGGGGGAAATGCGGTGAGTGTTAGTGTTTTCAGCGTCTGTGTCTTTAATGCTGATCGTGAACCAGAAGCTGTGTCATATAGTCTAGAAGAGAAAGCTTGAGACAGATGATAGTGAAAAATGGTTTTAATTCACCCCGTAAAATCCTAGAATACGTTTTTTTCCCCTCAAAGTGAATCAGCGAATTACAAAAAAAAATGCATTTAAATGAGCTCTCCTCTCGGCTCTTTACATTTAATGGAGTAATTTCCTTCGGGTACAGAAACTTCTCTAAAATAACCGTGTCCCAAACATTTGGCTGCACTCGTGTTTAACTCTTGTGACTGAGATGACCTCTTCACGTTATGTTCTTTAACTGTGGCTCCCGCACGAACCGTAGAGGTACTTGTTTTACTGAAACTTTAATGAAAGGCAGACACAAGGATTTGTAGAGGTATCTGAACCAGTACGGATTAGTGGCTTTTGCAGTAACAATGAATTAGAGCATCGGGCACGCAGGTCCTTTTAACTTGTCCCTGAGTTACACTGACATATTGTCGGTATATGTCAGACTGTATGTAACCTTCAAGTCCCGTGTGATTCCTGGAGGGGTGAAAGCCGGCTCCGAGGACTGCTGTGTGTACCTTTAAGAAGTCCATTCGTAGATCCTTGATTAACTGGGACTCAGTTTGTTAAAGAGCCTCTTGGCGCCAGTCTGCTGACGTTCCACAATAAGAACCGTCTCTTGTCACTTCATATTTACCCTAAATTCCTCAAACGGCGCGCTCCACTCCCCTCAGTACTCGCTCCAAAGCTGAGGCTTATGACTGAGTCTTCACGCTGCACGCTCCCTGATGGCGATACTTCTCCCCCGGCGCCTTGATTCGCTTCTACGTCCGATTCCGTTCTCGGTCAGAACGGAGGTGTCCGCCACAGCTGACCCCTGGAGACGGCGTCCGATGCCCGGCAAAGATGTGTTCTGACGCTCCGGCGCCGCTTTCCCAGCCCGAACCTGGTCACTTTGACATTAAACCGAAACAAAAACTCCTAATCCGACAGAATACAAGCAGCCCACAAATTTCTGATTAACCCCCCATCTGCCGGTGCGGCGTTGGCGCTGTGAGAGTCCGTCTTGTAACCGTTTCTGCACTGAGCTGAATCAGTCTTCGGTTTTGCTCCTGTGCGTGGGGTCCCTTCCGTCCGTCTATAACATTCTCTAAAATGTCGCGTTGAAAAAGAGATCTTTGCGAGTTGTGGCGCGGTAAATCATCGACGTGAGAGTAAAACGTCTTCATTCCGAAAAGAAAAAGATGACATGCAGTTTTCTGGGGGGTGGGGGGTGGGGGGTGCAAATGTTAATGGATTAATAAATGATCTTTAAAAGCAGACAAGAATCGCCGTAGAGAAAATCGCCCTGGCACCGCGAATGAAAGAGTTACATGCATGCAGGATACTCCACCGAATATCGTTGTAAGTAAATTGGTATGAATAAGCAAAATGATAGATGAGCCACAGTAATGCGTAATGTCCTTTGAACACCGGAGTTAACTCCAGCGTGAAGAGATAAGTGCATGTAAAGTTTAAAGGAAGGAAGCAATGAGACACTTTTTTGCCTATACCTGCTTGGTGAGTATGATAAAACCAACAAAACAGGCAAGAAGATAAGTATCGAGTGTGAAGAGAAGGTGTGAGCGCGCTTTCTGACTGTCCGTGCCCTGGCGCCAAGAGCTGCACTATCTCAGGGCAGTGACACACAAGCGGCAGGCTCTGCTCCCGGGACTAAAGGGCACTGTCTCTTTCCTTCTACCAGTCCCTTCTTTCCTTTTCGCGAGAAACTGGTGAACCAAATCACAGCCCGTTCAGCAGGTTTGCCTGCGTGTTGCCATAGTTATGTTCAGCCGAAATCTGCCACACGATCACATGTTCGTGGATGTCGATTTACAGGCCTGCACTGCGATCTGTAACGTCAAATCGCTCTGGGCAGGCTGGAAGATTGATACAATAGCCCATTTTGGTTCAGGAGGAGTTTGGAGTTTATTTGAAATGCCTACAATTTGTATTAAAAATGCTTTCACAATGCATGGCTTTTTAGTTATAACCTCAATACCTGCGTAGTAACTAGCAAGTTAGACTTGCTTTAGATTCTAATGTTGTTCAATAACCTATTATATTATTTTAATAAATTATTTCTGATTTATTTCACGCCACAAAGTTTCTGTCCAGAGAGACTGGCCTTTGACAAATAGGTACTCACGATTATGCAAAAATGAGTAAGATATTATTGTATTTTATTCATATTGTAATAATGTTGTTTTCTACGGAGTGTTAATGTAATGTTACCGCTTCATGCGTGCATTGTTTGTAAAGGTGTTGTAAAACATAAGGAGCTGATGATAGCATTCTTTTCTCATGGCGAATGTCATGTGTTGCGTGAGGAGATTACGTACCTCATACTCAAGTAGTGGTTCAGGTGTGGTAAAATGCTGGGTTACTGGACAAAGAAATTCGGAGGGAATTGTGTGAGGTTATTGTGAACATGAAGTGATATTTTAAAGACAGACTCCTATATAAACCAGAACTATAAAATGCATTATATGTATGTTATACACACACATAGCTTATGTGTTTACATTCTCCTAGTTTAACTTCTACCGGTGCAGTGATCATTATAGTTTTACTGCAGAAACTGACGCCCGTTGTCAAAGATGGTTCTCACTCGTTATGAGAGTATGGTTTAAGAACATGTTCTGCATTGTTTCCATGTATTCATTGAAACTACATAATATTTATTAGAACGAAAATGGTTCTCTGTAATTAATTAAACATAACTAGACGCTTGTGGGATTGTAGACTACTTTATTGCGTTTGAGAGCACAGTGTAAAGTTTTCAGTGTGATACATGCAAGTTCTCGTGGTAGAAATAGGGTTCAATATATATATATAGTTAATGGTCTTTAAAAATAGCAGAGAGAATTATGGAATTATTTCTTATCAGCTGTTTACTGTGGGTTTTTAATGTGTTTAGGTGTGAATCTAGGTTAATTAAGCTAAGGTTTTGTAACCAAGATAACGATTTGTAGCTGTTTAATTTCTTGCAAAGGGTGTATGGAGTTAAACTTGAGCTTAAAGAAAAAACGCGATTCTTTAAAAGCGTAAAAATAAATCAACTGTCGAACAAAATTTCAATTCAAGCGTGAAATTGGGAGACTTCGAGTACTCGGAACGAACGCATAGTTTTCCTCTTTAAATCTGTGCGATGTTTTATGAAACAAGATTAGCGCCACATGTTAATTGTTAATGATTTCGGATGTATACGCTGAGGGAGATAATTATATACACATAGTTCTTGTAATTATGTTCGATTTATTTGTTCTATATATCCCGGATCTACACTTTATCTAAATGGGCACGACGTTAAGTCAAGTTTTGTGGTATTATGAGAGAGCTTGGTTCACTTTACAAAGCAGACATGCCCGCAGTTTTTCCCCCCCGATTCAATGCTACTGTTTTATGAAAGCAGTATTATGTAACAGATTTATTTTTGTTGTAGAAAAGGAAACGATTATTTTGAGATTACTGTACAGGATAGCAAATCATAAAAAATATTATTGGGTCTAAAAAAATATTGGTCAGAATATCTCTGGTTATTCCATAGCTATGTTAATGAGATCTTATCCTTCATATTATGCAAAGATAATATGACAAAAATTTGTGACCAGTATCTTTTGCGTCGTCATTAGAAATATACGTGCTTTGTGTTTATGCGGAGGTACTGGGACGCTCTATATTATACATTTACTTCGATGCGTTTTTAAATCCTAACGGTCCCTGGTTTGTTCTTTGTAAATCAACAACCTGCAGTCTCTTTTTGAGGAGGCAGAGTTCGTTTCAAACTTTACCCCCGAAAAGTTCATCCTGAAAATAAGTGAGAAAAAGTAGCGCGGGTGCAGAGTGACCTCTTCAATGAGACTCGCAGTTTCGTCCTAAAATAACCGAGCGCTTGTGACGCTTAGTTATACGCGAATCATAATTATCATTGTTATTATTGTTTTGTGCCTCGGTTTGCGCCGTTTTCTTTCTCTTTCTCCTTTCTTCATGTCTTTGCATCTATTTGAATCACCTCTCCTGCTATATTTAGCCCATAGACTTAGGCCTTGGCGCCAGGCCGTTGAAGACCT